TTAGGCGAGGCTGTGCCCGGAGTGCCGGGCAGCGCTGGCAGCCGGCGGTTCCGAGCGGACGGACGGACAGACGGACGGACGGAGCCGGCAGCCGGCGGTTCCGAGCGGACGGACGGACAGACAGAGGGGCAGGGCCGGCAGCCGGCGGTTCCTAGCGGACAGACGGACGGACGGACGGACGGACAGGGCTGGCAGCCGGGCTGTCCCGTGCGGCGCTGCCGCTGCCGCCGCGGAGCCAGCGCTTACAGACGGACACGAGCCCGCTTCTCCTCCGGCGTGCGGGACCGGCCGCAGCTCCGGCCCGCCGCACACGCGATGGCACCGAGCCGGGCACTCCCCGCTCGGCTCCAGCCCAAGGCAGCTCCGGGCACCGGGCTGTGCGGGGGCCGCTCCCGCTGCGCGGATGCCCCGGGCCGGCACCGTTACCGCGCTCCCGACCGCCTCCGGTGCCGCTGCGGGGCTGTCCGCCCGCCTCCCGCGCCGGGGGAACGGGGCCGCCTTACCGTCTGCTGCACCGCCCGGAAGGTGGCATCCAGCAGCATCAGCTTCCAGGGGTCGGACACGGCGCCGGGCAGCGGCAGGTACACGTAGTAGGCGGACAGGGCGGCCAGCGCCGGCAGCAGCAGCCAGGCGGCCCGCATCGCCTCCTCCGCGCCGTGTGCGGCCGCCTCGCCGCGCTCCCCGCGGGGCGCGCACCGCCCCCGGGCCGGCCTCCCCCGGAGGAAGTCCCGGCGCTTCCTCCCGGCCCGCCGGCCGTGTGCCCGGCCGGAGCCGAGCCCAGGGCCCGCCCGGCGCCGCCCTGCCCGGGCCAGCCCGCCCCCCAGCCGGGCGTGCTCGGCGACCGCCGCTCCGGAGCATCGCACCCGCCCGAGGGCCCCGGGGACGGGGCTGTGCAGGCACACGGGGAGCGGGATGATGGAGCTCCTCCATCGCGGTCTCGGCCAACAAAGGCATCCACATCTGCAGTGCTGCCTCCGGCACCCCGTACCCACTGCTGGCACCCCGTACCCACTGCTGGTACCCCGTACCCACTGCTGGTACCCTGTACCCACTGCTGACACCCCGTACCCACTGCTGACACCCCGTACCCACTGCTGGCACCCCGTACCCACTGCTGGCACCCGGTACCCACTGCTGGTACCCTGTACCCACTTCTGGCACCCCGTACCCACTGCTGACACCCCATACCCACTTCTGGCACCCCGTACCCACTGCTGGCACCCCGTACCCACTGCTGACACCCCATACCCACTGCTGGCACCCCGTGCCTACACCTGACCCCTGTACCCACTCTCAAACGCTTTGCCCACCTCAGGCTGAGTGGTTCTGTGGGGGATGACCTGGCAACATCCAAACCCCACCAGTTTCATGGTCGCAGAATGGTTTGGGTTGCAAGGACCTTAAAGACCATCTCATTCCAAACTCTCTGCCATGGACAGGGACACCTTCCACTAGACCAAGTTGCTCCAAGCCATGTCAGAGCTGGCCTTGATTTTCATGTTTAGGGTTGTAGCAGCAGCAGATGTGCACCGTGGCAGATTCACGTACATTATTAATCCAGTGCAGAAAAAAAAAAAAAAAAAAAAAAGAGCACCAAACTTAACACTGACAATAATTAAGAATTAATTCATAATACTAAAAAGTCACATAGAAATATAAAAAGAGTCCTGGAAAGCACAAATTTCCTTTAAAAGTTGACATGAAAACGTAATATAAGAAAAATATGTTTCTACAAACTAAAAGGTCAGCTTTTAGTCGAGCGTTCCTGGAACTGAAGTACGACCTCAGTGATTCTAAAGGTTGCAGAAGAATGTTTCTGGAATGAGCAAGAAGAGCATCTCTAACCTTTTTTAGTAACAACAGCAGATGGATTTTCTGTGGTTTTCACAGTCCTTTTGGGTGGACTACAGAAGGGACGAAACAAGCTTTGCCGAGAAAGCAGCAGAGGGTAAGTCCCCTCCAGATTTTTATTTTTCTGTATTATTTTGTGCTCACACCTTCTCCTTCACCTTGTGCCCTGCTCCTCTGCCTGCCTTGCTTTGTGTACCCCGTTCCTTTGCTTGCCCAAGCTCCTGCCCCTCAAACCCACACTCAGCATCCTGAGTGTAAATAATTGGTACCCATCTCTTCCAACAAAACTCATTGGTCCCCAAACTCTGGCAAAACTGAGCCTCGCTCCTCTCCAGGTACTTATCTCCTCAAAGTAGGGATAAAAATGTTGGATGGGATTTTTCTGAGGTTTCTCATGCTCCCACTGACCCCCCACATACAGCTGGTGCTTAATCTCTCCCCTTCCTCATATTCTGAAAACGGCTGGCTAAACTGAATCAATGGCTCTTTGAGGAATCTGTTGTCTTCCAGGTGCTTAAAGAGAAGTCAGTTGATTGAAAAAAAAAAAAAAAAACAACCCAAACCAACAACAAACCACTGTGGTTTGAGAACAATCCCTTTGTTTAAAAAAAAATGTAAAAGATAAATGAAACCCCAGGATGCTTATAAGACATCATGGGGCTGGCAGTTTACCTGTGTAAACTCACACCCTGAAGCTAAGGAAGAGACCCCAAATTCCTGGGACCCAAAATTCCTGGGACAACACAGGGCACCAAGGTGTCCCTGGGCCTCCTGGGGTTCCATCAGCTTTTCCACCGTGGCCTTCTTGTCTTTTTTCCACAGCTGTGAGATCCCTGCTCTCGGGCAGGCGTCGTGTCAGGATTTATTTAATGATTTAATCTCCTGAAACTTTCTCCCTGTGGGTGTCACTGCTCGAAGAAAGTAGTTAACTATAAAATAAATGTTACACTCCTGGGTTACTGATGCCTTCTTAACTGGGAGGAAGGACAGGTTTCAGCTGCACGTTACATTGTTACATTTTACAGAACACAAAATAATGGGTGTTTCTATTTCTGAGCCTTTTATAAGAAAAGCACTTTAATGTTTAAATGTCAGACATAGGAAGAATAGTAATTATTTTGTCATCAGTCCTGTACTATTCTTTAGTGAGGATAAATGCACTTGGTTAAAAAACCCAACAACTTAGCCATGTTTTTTATGTGATTAATGCCTAAATTTTGTCTATATTCTGTTCCTGGGACTCCAGGTTCACCAGAATAACCAAATTCTTTATCAGTTTGTAATTCTGGATTTTCAAGTATGTTGTAAAAATGGCTAATACAAGTCACTCCCAAATGCACAGGGACCCTCTATTTATGTACTGTACCTCAATTTATTTATGCATTTGGTTATTGATTATATTATTTTTTAAACCTTTAACTGAGAAGTGATGCATTTTATTAACTCTTATTACCTCCTAATCCCCCGTCTAATTAAATATGGTTCTCCTGTCTTTGCAAGCACATTTTATACAGATTTATTATTTTTTTTAATATCTTGACATTAAGTGAAAATTAATGTGCAATCACCAATATATTTTCCAGAAACAAGTAATATTAACTCCTGTGCTGGAGAACTTGTCACAAACCTAGGAGAAACCTGGCCCCTGGTTCCAGGTGTGGGGCAAACCTGGTTGAAAAGGACTTTTTTAAGAGTGTGCAGTGGAAAATCCAGTGAAAGCTGGCCTGGCCTGGAACTGCAAAATGATGGCCCAAGTGGGTACTTGAAGGTGACAAAAGGACCTCAGGCAAGGATGGATTTTGACTGTAAGTTATCATTGAAATTAGTCAATGTGAAATAAAGTAATTGTAGGGCTTGTATAACTGTGTAATAATTTGACCCAAGTGTCAACATTGAAATGACCTCCTTGTTTTCCAGGCTGTTACTCTGAAATCTTTTCCTCAGGAACATAGTACTAATTTCTGTAAACCTCATCAGCAAATCTATATCCACATAAACAACACCTGTTATCATTTTCTATACTTTTTCCTATTTTGTTTTTTCTTCCAGATCATAAAAAGTCAATGGGCTTTTACAGCTGCTGGATCGGTCATGAAAACGCCTGAACTGAAAAAAATTCGTTGTATAAAAAAAATTTGGACGATCTAAGAATTCATTTTGACAGATAATAGAACAGTATAGAAATAGAAAATGTATCTCTCTCATTGTTTTTACACTGGGAGTTTACATTTGCAGTGAAACATTATGCTAAATCAGGTTCCAGGATGCTGAGCTCCTTAAGAATTCCTTTCTGTACCAGTAAGCTTTAGTATTAGGGAAAATTAAAAATAAAATGACGTCTTAAACATTTGGCATAATTAATTTATTTCGGGGCTGCTGCCGTGGAAAATTAAAAATAAAAAGACATCTTAAGCATTTGGCATAATAAATTTACTTCAGGGCTGCTGCCGTGGAGTCAGCTGGTTGATTTTTACCTTGACCAGTCCTATTTTTCCAGCAGCTCCTGTTTGCTACGAACTGATTATTCTGAAACTCAATGCAAGAGAGGCGCCCCGATAGCCTTTTTTAAACTTATTTAGCAGCATTAATGTTTTTGCGGTTACCACAGCGGTTTTCTCCTGGTGCCCTGGGTTGGTGTGGAGGGCGGCTGGACACGGGGCCGTGAGGGGACCGTGAGGGGTAGTGAAGGAGCCATGAGGGGGTAGTGAAGGAGCCATGAGGGGGCACTGAGGGGCCGTGAGGGGGCACTGAGGGGCCGTGAGGGGGTAGTGAAGGAGCCATGAGGGGGTAGTGAGGGAGCCATGAGGGGACTGAGGGGCCGTGAGGGCAGCGCCGCTCCCGCCCCGCCCGCTCCATCCGGGTCTCCGAGCGCGGCCGTTACGAGCGTTCGAACCCTGCGCCAGCCAATCAGCGCAGAGCGTGCCCATCCCGGCAGCCAATCAGCGCAGAGTTCGTCCCCACCCCGGCCACTCAGCAACCTGCGCTCGGTACCGTAACAAGCGCTGTGCCCATGAAACCTCTCACAGCCAATGGGGGCTCGTTCCGCACGAGTGGCAGGCTCGGCGACCAATCGAAGAGGGACGCGGGCGCAGGGCTGGCGAAAAGGAAGGGCAAGAGGGCGGGGCATCTCGCGGCTGTGGCGAATGAGGGGGCGGCTTACAGAGGGGCGGTGGGGCCGGCAGCCAATGGGCGGCGGTGTGAGTGCGGCGGCTCGGTTTTTGAATTGGCGGCGGCCGCTGATGGCGGCGGGCGGCACCGGCGGTGAGGGGGCACCGGGGCCGAGGGGGCACCGGGGCCGGGGGTGCGGGCGGTTCGAAACGGGGTCGGTGCGTCGGGCATCTGTGGGGGCTCCGGCGCTGCCCCGGGGCTCCTCAGGCCGCCGCCGTGTCACTGGGCAGGGCGGAGCCCCGGGCCCGGCGGCACCTGCTGGCTCGTGAGGCGAGAGGCGGCGGCGGTGGTCCCTCGTCCTGCCCTGTCCCGTCCCGTCCCGGCCACCTCCCTGCACAGGGCTCGGGGATCTTCCTGGGTGGTTCCTCGGGAGGGACATGGGAAGCGTGGGAGGTGTTTACTGTCCTTTCCTTGCTTTAACAAACATACTGTGGTTTGTGTCCTTCAGGCTTTCCACAAATTATTGCGAGGTCATTTCTGAGTGTGATGTTGTGAGGGTATTAGCTTTGCCTGGAGCGTGTAATGATGATGCTCTGACTTTTGCTGCTCATATGAGGAAATACTGTTGTGTCTGTTGTGTTTGTGTCTGTGTTTGTTCTCCTCTGTATCCTGGCACTTTCAGTCTGTAGGTTTAGTGACAAATATTGCTGTTATTAAAACAAGAAATGTTTTTAAACACAGCCAGGATGGAATCTCAGAAATAAATAAATTAGAAAAGTCCATAAAGAAAATCAATACCCAGACCAAAATCTGGGCTTCTTCAAAATGAAGTTCTTTGTGAGTACATTTTACTTGGTATAATAATAACTGTACTGATGTCTCAGACTTCTAGGAAATAATTTCTAGGATTTAAGTTTAGTTGTGCCTCTAATTGGAGGGCTTGTTGTCTCCTGAATTTACATTGTAATTGTCCTTGTGGTAATCATTACTAAAAATGTGGTTTGAATCTGCCAAGATTATACTTCTCTCCACTACTGCTAAAAAACTGGTAACTGTAGAACCATTCCTGGTGGTGACATTGTAACATTCTGGCCAGGTGATTCCCCACAGACTCTGTGATTGAGGTCACTCTCTCCTCTTGCTCTGAGAAAAATGAGGTGGGTGACTGGGATTTAGGTCTAGGAAACTCAGCTCCAAGGATGTGCACAGCCGTGTGTGACCTGGGAATTGAAATTAAGGTGGCAAATCTGATAGCTGAATACATCTAGAGTAATGATAGATTTGTAAGTTGATTATTACTCATCACTGTATTAGGAGCTTGTTTATTATGAAGATTTGAATCCTTTGCACGAGTCACAGATGTGATCTCTGGAAGGTGAAGTCTTTTCTGTATTGTTGGTATGCCAAAGTACCCATTGCTTTTTTTTGTCTTCTGGCTTTGCTGTGTAATAGGATGGTCATTACACAATTTAAAAAATAATATGTGCTGTTCTCTAGGGGTGTTACTGCCTCAAGAGCCCTCTTTCAGACAATGCTCTAGTGAGTTATTTGAGTAGCTGCTGTTTTAAAAGGGCACATACAGTCACAAGAATGATTTCAGTTCAAGTGCTACAAAGGGTTATTATCGACAGCAGCTCAGCTGTAGCTGCTGCTCTGATCAGGGTAACTCCTGATCTCACTGTGCAAACAATGAAATCTGGGTGTGTGCTCAATCACAGGAGCTGCACCCTGCCTGCCTCGTGTGTGACACACAATGGGCAGGTGTTGGGCAGGTGTCTGAGAACAATCTTTGTGCTGCAGGATTTGGGAAGGCAGCTCCCAGAAAATGAGAGGGTTAAGGATTCTGTATTTCCATTAGCTGACAAGTCTGATGGGCAGGGAGAGCACAGATCCATTCTGTTTGAGAGGAGAGAGAGGCCTCTTTATCTGATTATGAAAGGCTACTTCTACTCTGTCATAGTTAATGCAGGACAGTAAACCAGACCATACAGCTAGACATATATGTGCATACCAACTTTGCAAAGAATCTCAAGCTTTTATAATTTTTCTAAGAGTAAATCTGGGTGCTCACTTCTAACCACAGTATTTCTGGCCAGTTCACCTGAAAAATCAGCTTTTAGCAAGATGTTATGCTTACACAAATTCTTCTGCTAATGTTTCAGATCAGCAATGCTAATTTTAGTCTCAATTGTAGCTTATAATAGTTTGTCACTGAAAAAAACAAGTGCTTTTAGTTTGGTGCTTTGTGGTTAAGGTTTTTTAAATGAGCACTTGAGTTTGTGCTTGCCTGTGCTCAGAGCTGATGATTACAGAACCATTTCTGTAACAGCTTTGTTGTCAGTCCTTTCTATCAGTTGTGTTCCTCTTGATGCTCTATCAGTGTGAGTGGGAGTTCAGTAAGAGCCTAAATATGACAGCCTTGGTCATAGGACTCTTATGAATGAGCTTTTTGCACCTGTAATTGAGCTTGGCCCCTCCATCTTCCAGCTGTTGAAGAAAGAAACGAAGCATAATCATGGCTGACAGCAGTACTCTGGTGTCTGAAACCGGGAGGAGCCTCTTGGCTGATTCTTCTGTTCTTGATTCAAAAATTATAGAAACTTCCAAAGAGAATGTATTCCGTGCAACTGTTCTGGATGTTGAAGGTAAGGGGGGAAGGTTATTTTAAGACTGCTTGCTTTTTGCAATGACTGATTACCTCATTGGTATTTAGTAGTTTTGAAAAACCAAAAGGTCTTTGAACTCCAGAATGTACATAGAGTAGGGAAAAGTGTGTTATCTGGGATCCTTTCATTAAGAGAGTTTGGTGTTACAGCCCAAATTGAATGAATTTTCTGGCTGTTGTACAGAAAGCTGTCAGTTCCATTTGATGTCTCTTCTGTGGAAAAAATCACTCCAGGTGACATTTTGACACCAGTGTTTGGAAACTGAAGCTGCTCTATTGTGGACAGATTAACAGGTATAAGGTAGAAAGGTGAAAAGATTAATAGTCTTAAGCCCAAAATGAATTCAAGGACAAATCTTGAAATTAAAGAACAATCACCAATGTTTTCCTCCAAGGTAGCCAAAATCTGCTGGTGGTCTGTTGATGTAAATGATGTGGAGGCAATGCTTGTTCTTCCTCCTAATATTTTGAATCCTTATTAATACATGTTAAAAAAGACCATCTAATTTCAGTTCTGATATTCCTGGTAACTGCTCAGTTACCAAGAAAGTAATGAACCTTGTCAGCCAGGAACACAGAAACTAGAGAAGATACCAGCTGTCTGTTTTCCAGCAGCTCTTGGTATCTAATTCTGCTAGAAGAATTAAGCCTGTAATTTTTTTGAGTTTTCATTTGCTTGTTTTCTTTCCTCCTCCCTACCCCTCAATTTGTGTTCTTGCTTTGACTGGTCATGAATTGCAGATTCTTGTTTCACCCCATACTTGAAAGTTTGGGCTCTAAGTCAATTAGGTATGCCTTAATTAAAGGACACTCTTCTTGAAGTAACATTTATTTTCAGGATTGCTCCTGATAAGGAGTCTTGAAAGGCTACCTGTATTCTTCTATACATTATTGCTTGATTTTGACATGACGTATATTTTTCTGCTAAAATACAAATATTATCCTTGCTTCTCTCTAAGCAGAAGAAATGCCTCAAATAGAAACAAGAGTGGTTTTGGTTCAGGAAGCAGGGAAACGTGAGGAGCTTCTGAAAGCCTTGGAGGTATGTGGGCCTGAGATAAAACAGTCACTGGAATGACATGTTACGCCTTCAGACTTCTTGTAACCAATTTGCTTCTGTACTAAATTTCTCCTCTTCCACAGACCATTAAGATAATGGAAGTACCTGTTATAAAGATAAAGGAAAGTAGTCCTGATAAATCAGAAGAAAAACTAATAAAAAGTATTATTCATATGGTATGTCATGCAATTCAGCACATGTAATTGCATGCAGCATGTTACACTTCACTGGGACTGAAATGCTTTAATTTGGATTAATTGGGCATAATGGTCATAATATATGCTAATGATTCTGATGGTGTCACAGCTAATCAAAATTAGCACTTTTTAAAAATATGGAGTAATACTTGTAGCTCTTATCTAATGGTGTTTTCTAACAGGGGCATCACAATATCCAGGGGACATCCAGCTGCATGCTTGTGTTCAGTCACACATAAGTTTGTGCTATGAACTGGCTTTGTAATTGTCAATGGATTTCTCTTTCAGCTGCATTCAAACTGAAATGCAAGAAATGCTTTTCCATTTCTTGATGTGAAAGACATAAGAGATAAAGTTTGGAACTAGTGTTTGAAAATGAAATGGACAAATTTTTTTAACCCCTTAAAAATATCAAGCAATGAACAAAATCTATTTCTGTTCTGTAGGTGTTGTGCAGCATGGAGCTTGCTGTTGCAAACTGGATGCTACTTTTTAGTAGCATCCTACAGTACCCTAAGCTGTTCTGACAGTCTGAAATTTCATTTATCTTTTGAGCTTAGGGTGTTTTTTCTATCTAGCTCGTTCCAGTGCTACATTATCATGTGAACTGATACATAAACTGCTTAAGCAACTAGAATTCTGATTCCTCAAAAGCAGAAATTACTTTGACATTCAGTCGTAAAGCATGCAGCAGTTCATAGCTATTCTTATGCTAGAGAAGAGTGCATTGCATTCAGCTTTCACAAATCCTAACTCTGTTTCTGAAATATGAATCACATTTTCCTAATGGTCCAAAATAAACCTCAGTTGAATTTTAGACTGGTGCAAGTGTGTTGCCTGAATAATGCTTTCCCTTTCACCCCTGTGCCTCAAGGAAATTAAAACACCCTACATAAAGACAGACTCGATAGAAGAGCTTGGAGATTCTGATTCCCCGGAATTTGAGACGATCTTTGTCGTGTCCGACTTCCAAGCTCCCGTCTTCAGCAACCTCTGCAAGGCGGATTGCCGGGTCATCGGGCCGCCAGTCCTGCTGCACTGTGCGCGGAAAGGAGAGGTGTGTGCTTCCTGCTGCAGTCAGCTCCCTGCTGCACTCAGTTCTGCCAGTTCACAGTAAAATCTCTCTTGCTCTTCCAATCAGTTATAAACATTCCTAGCAAGAGAATTTTAAGAAAAGCAAGTTACTAACGCTGTGGTAGAATATTTTACATAGTGAGAGGGTGCAGGCAGACAGTGGTAGGGCTATGACTGCTGCTGAAGTTGTGGGAGTTGTTGATCATCAGTTGGGATTGTGCTGTTAAGAAAGGCAGCATGCAAATGAATCTCCAGTAATCAGTTTATATTTACAAAAGTTGTAATGTGAAGCAGATGGACTGGGGAGGAAATAAAAGGATGGATGCTACCTGTAGATCTTGGGGATGCTCTAGTTACTTTATCAGCAGGCCTGGAGCTAAGGTATAACTGAATACACAGACCTGGACTAGTGTCTGATGAATTTTTAATACTAGAAATAACAGTAATGTATTAAAGGTAATGTGAAAACTTCAATGAGTGCAGTATGCTGTTGACTCATGAGCTTTCTTTTTGTTTTCAGCCTTTACCTTTCTCCTGCCGTCCACTGTACTGTGCAAGTATGTTGAACTTGGTACTGTGCTTTACAGGATTCAGAAAGAAAGATGAATTAGTAAGTAATTTATTCTTCTTTGGATTGGTAAAACCATGTTAAGTATATTTTCAAGATTCTGTTCCATCACCCATAGGGTTTAACCATGGCTCAGGCTTTTATGGGGAGAATAAATTGTTTGTTCTTTTGGTTTTTTTTTGCAAGACCAGAGGCAGTGATATTTGAGGATGGGAACAAAACTTAGTTCAAGTCATTTTATATGTGTCATTTTTGGTCATTTTTTTGTTGAGTGACATTAAACTGCTCTAATTCAATAGGGCTTAAAGGCTTGTAAGTTGAAGTTTCAGATAAGATGTTTACCCAGTAGTGTCCTCTTTTTTTGTACAGGTGGTAGAATGGGCAAGTAAATCTTTGTAGCTCTGTTCAGAGCATTTGCAGGCATGTTATCTTGTCATATATTGTGCTATCAGGACTTTACTCTTTGTTTGATACTCTAGGACTTTGCTTTTCCATTTCAGTAGGCAGTTGCCATCTAATTTCCCTACTGGACACCTGCGAATCAACAATATGGCTCCATATCTTCATCTGAAAAAACCAAATCCAAACCAAAAGCTTTTGCCTGGTATTTGAGTTAGGTTTGGTCTAGAGCTGTCTAAATCAGCAAGGAAAATATCAAATCTAACATGCAGGAAAAGGTGAATGTATGTATGATGATCATGAGACTACTGGTGTCTTGGCTAGTTTTCAGGCTACACAGCAAGGCTGTACTAAATGTTGAAATAAAAATAAATCTTTTGATGTATAAGCCATATCTTCTGTCAATGTGAACAAGTTGTTTTAAGAACAGATCAGAGTATTTCTATTTCTAGACATTTAATGTAACTTGCTTTGTAAACCACTTTTTGAACTTGCTCTTCAAAAGATACTGAAAACTTTTCATCTTCATTTTTCAGGTTAAACTTGTGACCTTGGTTCATCATATGGGTGGAATTATTCGAAGGGACTTTAGCTCAAAAGTTACTCATCTGGTGGCAAACTCAACACATGGAGACAAATTCAGAGTATGTAAGCTTGAGTTGGTGTTTCATAGAAGCCTTTGGAATTTGGCTTTTGTAGATTCTTTGTTCTTTATACTTCAGCTCAGAAGTTGCTGTTTCTTCCTGTACTAACATAAATAACTTGTAATGATCAGTTAATCTCTGGTGTTGAGCTTTGGCATGTTTCTGTCTCTGAGGGAGAGCTAAATAACATACATTTGAAATAGACAAGTATAGTAAATAACAAGATTCAAAATGGTTAAGTATTGATGCTACCAATAGTAAGGACAGTGATGAACAAATGCCTGCTTTTGTCTGTCCAAACAATAAACTTTGAGGTAACTTGTAAAAAACTTTAGTCCTTAATTGGTGCATATAATTAAAAAAAATATTTTTAACTTGTGGGTGAGGATTCAAATATTCCTTTATACATAAATAGACCTGAGCGTGCTTTTTTTTTTACTGATTCTAAAAGGGAATCATTTGGGACATTTATGTTCAGTATAGAAGGAAATAACAGATTATAGGTTTTTGTACTGTTTAATATGACATAGCAATGTCTAAGTCCCTTCACTCTCCCTTGTTTGAACTGTTGGTAGGGTGTTGCTTTTTTTCCCCCTTTTTTGTCTTTATAATCTTACAGTTGGAAGAGAAGTCCTACTTTCTGTTCAAACACTCCTTTCTGCCAACTCAAAGGAGAAAATGTAGGAAAACTGTACAGTCTCTCAAGCAGTTATGGCAGTTACCTTTCAAATAGTTGGTTTCTCTTTGATAAAAGCAGGATGGGGTGTTTTCCTTCATTCAAAGTATCAAAAGCAGAAAAAAGATCCCATATTCCCCTGGAACAGAGATGTGATTTTGTGTTTTTGTGACTGATGAAGGATATCAGACTAACAAAATGGTGCACTTTTGAGGAAATGTCAAAATAGCTATTGATCTGATCTCCTAGTCACTGAATTCATACATTCTAACTCTGGGAAGCTGCAGTTGGATATGAATTTTGAAGGAACATATTCACTTTTTGCAGTATCTGTCTTGAAAAGTAAAAGGAAGGTTATGAATTTTTTTTTTGATGTGGGAAAGATTTAAATGGAAATATTTGGTACAACTTATACTTTTCCTTTTTCGTAGATTGCTGTAAGTCTTGGTATTCCTATCGTGAAAGCTGAGTGGATTTATAAGGCATGGGAGAAAAGGAATGAAATGTAGGTGTTTTTCCTTCAGCCTTCACCTTGCATGCTGTTCATCTGAAATGTTGTGAGCTTCTGCTTAAATACTGACATAAGTCACTTAAGTGACTCTTTTGTGCATCTTCTTTCTTTCAGTGATTTCTGTCCAGCTGATGATGATTTCAGAAACCAGTTCAAGGTTCCTCCCTTTCAGGATTGCATGTTAAGTTTCCTGGGATTCTCTGATGATGAGAAAGCTAACATGGAAGAAATGACAGAAATGCAAGGTGATTGTTTATGAAAACCCGTGGGAAGAGTGGGGTGGAGTTTATAGTGACAGGTGCTACAGAACTGTTAAGTGAGATACTGATTTCTAACAAGGATATTCTTTCCTGCTTATTTGCCTTTTATTTTTTTATCTAGGAGGACACTATTTACCAGTTGGTGATGAAAGGTGTACACACTTGGTGGTTGAAGAAAGTACAGTAAAAGATCTTCCATTTGAACCTTTGAAAAAACTTTATGTTGTAAAGCAAGAGGTTAGTGCTGAAAATTCTTTAGAGAGTGCTGCTATGTAGAGCTGTGTGCTTTCTGAATCTTCCATGCCAACTGTGTAACTATAGATTAAATATATAGATTATTTTGAATATTTTTAACTTTGGGTGAATCTCTTAATTGTGTTTATAAAGTGTGTTTTCTTTTTTCCTTTAGTGGTTTTGGGGAAGCATTCAAATGGATGCCAGAGCTGGAGAGTCCATGTATTTATTTGAGAAGGTATGTTGAACACTCACACAATGCACAGCATATTTTGGTGGTAAAATTAGTATGCAACATAGTGTGTGTGTGTGGCCAGAGATCAGATGTTTTAAAGCAACATTTAAGTTCCAGATAGTCCATTAGAAATTTTATGTGTAGAATACTAATTTGGAATAGAAACTATTTTACTGCTTACCAAAGGTTTTGCTTTTAATCAAACACAACACCACCGTAGTTTCTATTTTAAAAAGAAGGGGTAAAAAGCTTCACCCATTTTGCCTTGGCTTCCCTAAGAAGTTTCCTTCTGTGTTGTGTGTTGATCTCTGTGATTAACTAACAAACTAACTCTGTGATTAACTAATCTCTGCACTGAGTTGAACTGGACACTGAGGATAAACCCTGAATGAAGTTTTCTTTCCCTGCAGTCAGAGAGTCCTGACTTCAAGAAGTCGGTGTCGCTGCTTTCCCTGAGCACTCCCAACAGCAACCGCAAACGGCGCCGCTTGAAAGAGACTCTGGCCCAGCTGACCAGGGAAACAGACATGTCCCCGTTCCCTCCGCGGAAACGCCCCTCAGCTGAACATTCCCTCTCTATTGGCTCCTTGCTGGATATCTCCAACACTCCAGAGTCAAGCACTGCCAATGGAGGTAGAGCTAATACCTTCCATTCAGCCACACTCGGTGTTTAGCAGCTCTTGCATGCAAGTGGAAATGGTTGTGGTAGGGAAATCTTGCAGGTTCTGCTACAGATTTGCAATGTAATTCCAGGCTTTTCCCTTTTCAAAGCGGGGAGGAAAAAGTTGAAGTGAATAGTTCAGACACAAGCCAAGCTGTCTCTTGTGATCACAGGAAGTGTGTTCATATCTGAAGGAATAGATACAGAGATGAGAAATAGGGAGTACAGTTGAGTATTACTCCAAAATGCTTCAAATACTCTGCTGGAAGTCTGTAGCAAATTAGCAGCATAGTCAACAGTAAATCATATAAAATACTCTCCATAGGATACTTGGAAGAAAGAGGACAAAGATTCTTTTCTAGAGGAGTTAAAGGGAAAATTTCTGCAGGGCCCACTCCTGGCTCTTTGAAATGCTTTGTTGAGGCAACACTGTTTGTGCTAGCAAACTGTTATGTCTAAAACTTCACAAGAATATAAATCATCAATTGGTTTTGAGTGAATGGACAGAGTTTTAATATCTCTGCATATGGCTCTTGTGAAGAGAAGAACTACAACATTTTGGGTTAGTTAAAAGCTGATACCCCAAGTGTTTCTTAAAAGGTCTGGTTCCATCATAAAGAGCAGCTGCTACTGCCTTATAAAGGGAAACTCAAATCACATAAGAGCTCCCAATGAGGCACAACCTGTAAGTGGTAATACAGAAGGAATTCAGGAAAGATCAGCCTTCTTAGGTGGTGCTAGTGCTCTTATTACCCCTGGTAGCAAATTTTCTTCTAATCCAACAGCAGCAGTCTCAAAACTTGCTAGTTTTGAAACAACAGGTAAGGTACTTATTTAATTGTTAACTATGGCAGTTATGAGCTTTCATATAAAAAAATACAGTATAGGTCTCTGAGATCCAATACATGAGCAAATATTTAAAACTCTTGAACTGTTCTGGACCCACCTTGGCTTTAGCTTTAAGAAAAATTACTTTCTTGAGCCTTTCCCCTTCCCCCTATGGGATGAAATATAAGTGTTGTGTGCAAGGGCTGATTTTAGTAAATGGTTTTGGGCTAATGCAAGGATGCTAAGGCAGCTGAGAGCTAATTGTTTACATGGCAAAGTGGAAGTAGAAAAGCCCTTTTGTACTAGTGTATAAATAAGTAATGTTCACACCTAATCCTTGCTTCCTGCTAAATAAGGAACTAATGATAGGGTCAAGTCATTGACCTGCCCATAAATGGCTTATTTTCAGTCTAATTTTGAGGAATGGTATATTACTATTGTTCTATAAGTAGCCTATAATAGAGAGCCATTTTCTTGAAAGAGCCTTGATAGAATAGAATATAGCCTTTAAAAAAACCTCAAACTTGCCTTCACTTAAAAATTCTGAAGTTTTTTTCTCTTGTCTTTGAGGGTGAGCTTTTTTTAGAGACTCCATTGTAATAAAGCTCTTATTTTCTTTTGGTAATATCTCTCCATCAGAAACACCAAAATCCTGTGCAAGACCTTCCAAAAACTCGACTCCTCTTCCCCTCAAGCAGTCTGCAAGATGGCAGGTTGCAAAGGAATTGTATCAGACAGAAAGTAACTATGTTGATATTCTGACAACAATTATTCAGGTAAGGTTGTTTTAAAGCCAGTCCAGGTCAATTGTAATGAGATATCCAATGTTTGCCTTAATTAATATTTTCAGTCTGTGATTTGCAGGCTTTTGAGGGCTTGGGTGCATCAAAGCTTCATAGGAAGATGACAATATAAGCAGTCTCGTGTAATTTTACTGACATATAAAAATACTCAGTTTCAGGTTGGAAAATACAATTTCTAATCTGGGGTCTGCGGTGGTGTTGCAATATATATGGAAATTGGAAGTGTCAGGAAAATAGGATCTTCTTGACTAATATTTTAGATATTAGTGACTAGAAAGATGGCAGAAGAAAAAAATCTTTTTTTTGAAATTATTCCAAGAAGAGCAGAATAGCAAACAATTTACAGGAAGAGCTTAATTTCTTGAAAGTTTATTTCTATTGCAGTTGATTATCTACTTAAAGAATGAACCAAGATGTGTGCTAGTAGAAAGAGATGAGAGGGGGTTATGCTGTAGAGATGTATCAAACCAAGCGTTTGTATCTTCAAACCACTCTCCAAAACCCACCCTTGCTGAAAGGAGACATCTCAAGATTGTGACTGCAGGAAGTTATGATCTAGAAGGAAAACACTGTTGCTTTTATAACTATTTCTGATACAATGTTGGCATTTGGGAAGGCATATATTATCTTTTTTTCCTCTTAATTTGTCAGCTGTTTCAAGTTCCATTGGAGAAGGAAGGACAGCTTGGGGGACCAATCCTTGCACCAGAAGAGATCAAGACCATATTTGGCAGCATTCCAGATATTCTTGATGTGCACACTAGAATCAAGGCAAGCTGCACTTTCTCCCCTGCAGGGGAAGCTTTCATAGAGACTTGGAATCTTTTCTGCATGTTTTCAATTGCATCTGCTGGATAGGTATATACTCTTTCAAATAGTGGCATCTGCCTATTCCTGGCAGCATTTCATGATAGGCTTTCAAAATAGAGAGACTTGCAGAGTACCTGCAACTTGGTGATTTATTTGTACAGGTCTTGTTGTTTTTTTCCAACCTGTGGGGTGCAGTCTAGTTAATCACACCAGCTATTGATGTGTGCCCACTGAGAGAGAGATGAAAATAGAGCTGTGTCAATTGGAGTCACCTGCAGCAGAGAGTTGCTTTGATGTAGTTGTTGTGTTTTCCTTCATCTTTGGTGTTATGAAGATATGAGCAATGACAGCAACAAACCATTATTAGTGATAAATCTTTTCACTTAAGGTCAATCCTGAACCTTCAGCTGTGCCCTCCTGTCCCTCTTATTATCTGATGGTGATTGAGCTTGATCCTTATCAAGCTCATATAGGCTTAACAGGCTTGGTCTCACTTTCCTTGACACCCTGGTGTAGCAAGCAAATGGAATCTATCCTAGTTCTATTTCAATCCTGTCTTATAGACTTAAGTCCTAGGTAACTTGTGCATTCTTAGTTAGAATTGGTTCAACTGTCTTCTGGGTATCCTTTCTCAGTATTCCTTTGGGATGTGTTGTATATTGTGTTGGATGCAGCAGTGTCACCTTGCTGCAGAGTTGGCTAGTCCTGACATGCTGCCAGGCTGTACTTGCATTGATTTCCAGCTATATATACATATTCAGTAAGCCAAAGAGCTCTTGTTTTCAGCCCTCAGTAGACTGGAGGGGCTGAATGTGAAATTGTACAGCTTTTAGGAGTGCCTGTTTTGTCAGCATGAAAACACACCTAATGATGTGTGTTTGGCAAAATAGTGATCCCATTTAATGGCTTTATGCACTTTATGCTCATCTTGTTTTCTCCCCCCATCCCTGCATGTATTTTAGGAAGACCTGGAAGATCTTATGATAAATTGGACTGAAAGCAAAAGTATTGGTGATATCATTCTCAAATATGTAAGTTCCTGTTTCTTTCTTTATGCTTACAACTATTATCTTGCCTTACAAACAATCCACTTCTAGGAGCTAGCAAACACAAGCAAAGCACTGCTGAGAAAGAGCTCCAGCTTGTATCTTTTTTTTAAATTTAGATTTTTTAGTTGAGTTAGGTGATACAATCCATGTCAAGTTTTAGTGTGTATGTCTGTTCACAGGTATGAAGGATTAAAACTACAAATAGCTACAGTTTGAGAACTGTAATTTGCAATGTTACAGACACTCTTTTTACTCAGACATTAAAAGCCACTTCCCAGGCCCTTAGCCATCTGCTGCCTCTGATCAATAGTAAAGAACTAAGAAAACAACTTTTCACAAACTTATGTTCTTCTTTCAAGACATGAAACGTATAAGTGAATAAGGAGTCCTGTGTAGAACAGGAAGGCTAAGTCTGGGACTAGAGTATTCTAACATAAATAGGCTGTTAGGTGTCTTTTGATTTTGTTGATCTGATAATTTTGAGACACATAGTGCTTGCTATTCAAAAAGTTTCTGGTCTAAGGTATTGTTTCCGGTGGTTTAAAAGGTGACTACAGTAATTGGTGCAAATGCCTGTCTGAAATTTCCAAAATTCTCATCAAAAGCCTCTTGCTAGGTGAGAACCTGCCTCCCACTCGAGCTGCTCAGCAGCTTCTAAGATTGTCACGTTTGCTTGATGCTGGTGGGAACAGCCTGCGTTTAATCAGCAGCATCAAGCTGGGGCATCTGGCATGCAAAAATGTCTTAACTTGTTCTGAGAACACGTATGGGTTTACAACACATTTTTTATTATTCTTATTGCAATGTGCCTTTGAGCAGCTTTGTATGGCTCAGGGCATATGAACATATGTACAAGGATACATAATATGTAAAGCAGACCCCTAACAGTTGTTTCTTTCAGTCAAAAGACTTGTTGAAAACATACCCTCCGTTTGTGAATTTCTTTGAAATGAGCAAGGAGACGATTACAAGATGTGAAAAGCAGAAACCAAGGTTTCATGCCTTCCTAAAGGTAAATATCTGCAGAAATAAGTCTATGAATAGAACATGGGGACTGTTACCATGTTCTCCTAATGCACTAGATGGAAGAATGTGAAATTTTGAAAGCTTGAAGGAATGTGAACATCTTTTGGTGAGAGAAAAATGGGAAGGATTTGAACTTCAATCCTTCAAGCTCCTTTTTCAGAAAAAGTATGAGTTTCTCCTCTGTTAAACAGCTTTCAAGGTGGTTTGATTATATGCATTTGTTGCTGGAAAAAAGTTCCACCCAAATACATGTCTTCTCTTTTCTTAAAGATAACTAGAGCTGCTGCTTTGACTAGTCCCCTTCCTGTGAGACTTGTATTTCTGAAACAGCTTTTAACTTTCCTCGGGCAGCTGTGAAGCTCCAGGGAGGCAGAATTTCTCAGCATTCTCGTGACTAATGAATAGGAGCCTAACAGTGGAGATCTAACAGGAAGATGATCTTCAAAGAAAGTTATCTGAAGATGAGGCTTAAGACTCTTGATCTCTTCAGATGTGTGTGTACTGTTAATAGTGCAGTGTAGCTTTAGCTCCTATATCTAAATAGTCAACTGTCAAACACTGGCAGTTTCACCTCGTGTTTTCTGAGGGATTAGGAATTACATCCAAGTGTTGGTATCTAAAAGATGGGGAACAAATAAGAGAACAGGCTGTCCCCAGTCCCACTCCACATTAGTAGCTGGAACAAGAGCTGAAGGGTTGATATGGACCCTTTAAAACTAGACATTCTGAGAATATAAATCAGTGTTTACTTTTGAATAGAATGAGGTTTTTAGCATGCTCTGTTAATGACTGTGGTAAACAATTCTTACACTTGTATAGCAATACTAATTTCAAGGAAGAAAATTTTTCTCTGATCTTGTGCTTTTCTTGTGTATGTGTGTAAAAAAAAAAAAGTAAGCATTATTTCCTTTTCCCCAGATAAATCAAGCTAAACCTGAATGTGGTCGCCAAAGCCTCGCTGAGCTCCTTATCCGTCCTGTTCAAAGGCTGCCCAGTGTTGCCCTACTACTAAATGGTAACCTAGTGATGTAATTTTATTAGTTGGTCTATGAAAGTGTTAAAACCACAAGATGATGTCTACCTTTTGTCATCATTAGAAACAGTTTTTCCTCATCTAAAACAAGCCTGATTATGTGAGTTAACCATGATTCCTGGCAGTCAGTGAGAGCCACTACTGAAGAAAGCATAAATTTTGTCTAAATTCCACTTGTTCATACATTTGTATGCAGGATACAGATAGAGGAACAGTTTGCACTGACAATTCTGTCTCTTCAAACAAGAATATAATTGAGATTCAAATGAAACTAACATAAACTAGAGAGCAATTCATATTGACAAGGCTCACAGTTTCATGTGTTCCACCTGGTATCAACCGCTTGCTATAATAATGCTTTTGTTAATAAAGATAATAAAAAATCCACATCACCCTTTGCTTCAAGTGGAAAAATACTTCTGTGCTTGTCTCTGCATTTCAATTTAATTTTTTTAATACTTTAAAAGTTTGGTTTCTGTATTGTATGTGGGTTTTTTTCTTAATGAGATGTCTGGACAGCTTCTGTTCAGCCTAGTTCCCCACTTAATCAGTGCTACTTGGGCTCCAATCTGATGTTTTCAGTCAGCTTATCTTAACTCAGTTTAAATTTGAGATTTTCAGGTTTCTTTTCAGGCACTTGTAATATATATGGAGTTTTTATTTCTTTATTTTTTTTTAATTGTAGATATTAAGAAACATACAGCAGAAGAGAACCCAGATAAAATAACTCTAGAGAGAGCCATTGAATCATTAAAGGAGGTGATGACGTAAGTCATGTTGATTCTATGGAACATACTGTTAAACATACTGCACTTAGATCCCTCTGTTCCTCCTAAATTGTCAGTGTTATGCTGCCACAAGGAACAGTAAGTAAACATAACTGTAGGTGTTCCTCAGCCTCCTTTTGACTGCTGTTGTCACTTTGGAGTTCTGTGTCAGAGCTCTGAAGGAGTCTGTGACATTCCCCACTTGTACCTGAACCTCTGCTGACTCCCTGCTTCAGCAGGGCTGTCCCCAGTCCTCTGTTCTGTTTCAACTCTTATTTCTATGTTTTCCCCTGGAATGGAAGAACTGGGGTTTTGTCGTTAAATCTTACTTCTGTGCATTGCATCTACTGAAAGGACAGACTTTTTGTGGGAGATTAGTTTTTCTTCTGGTCCTGTATTAGCTCTTCTTGGCACTGTGCCATGAGTTAATTAGATGAAAGCTGAAGTTGTTTAGATTGTAAGGCTCACCTCTTTTGAAGTGTAGCGTATGTCTTCAGCAACAAGAACTCCTGCATTAATTGGACAAATGTTTGTCCAGTTTTAACAACAACTTTTAAATTGTAATTATTCTTGGATCTCCTGCTTGTTGAGCTGCAGTTCTGATCTGGGGGAGACAAAATGAAGGCTGTAAAAAGAACTGAGATGTCTGGTTGAAAATCTTGTAGGGCAGGGGAGGAGGGGAATTCTGTTTTAACTGATTGGCGTGTCAAGTGCTGGTAACGTGACAAGAATAGTGTTCTAGAGCTGAAGTTTCCTATGTGATTTCATGTGGTATTTGGTTATTTCTTCAGGCAAATGTGGCAAATGCTGCTGTTGAATGTTTAACTTTATTATTTTGTATGTCTTAAATACAGTGCATCCCTTTACTGTTGCTTGGTATTGAAGATTAATATAATATGCTTTCCTTAGACACATTAATGAAGACAAAAGAAAAACAGAGGCACAAAGGCAGTTCTTTGACGTTGTCTATGAAGTGGATGGATGTCCAGTAAGTAATTTCTCCAAAGCTGTAGATCTATTAAATGACTGCAGTACTTTGTTCCCTTTGCAAAAATGTGTGAGGTTATAATGCAACGGTGTTGGTTTAAACAGATTGCCAGTGTTAAGCTGTAAGCAAGCAGTAATCTAGCCCCTTGAACTAAATGCTTAATGAGCTTTTTGCTCTTGTCATTTAGGCCAATCTCCTGTCCTCCCACCGCAGCCTGGTGCAGCGTCTGGAAACTGTAGCACTTGGGGATGACCTCTGTGACAGGGGAGAGCAGGTCACGCTCTTTCTGTTCAATGATTGCCTAGAGGTAAGGTGACTGTACCAGTGCATCTCGAACTGAATTGTAAAAGGCTTGACACTACACATGAATATAAATAAGTAAAATTTAAGACCTTTTGAGGCTGAATTCTAAGTCACAGATTGCTGGTAGGTCAACACATGCTGATGTTTCTTTTCCATTAACTATTGTATAATCCTCTCATGGCTGAGAGGTGTTAATGTAGCCTTTAATGTCTTGCAGCCAGAGTAAAAACATAAAAGCAGCTTAATATGTTAGAAAAATGTTTATCTGAATAGCACTTTGAGTAGCACCAATAGATGAAAAAGTGCTGGAGTCTTTGGCTCATCAGGTTGTTTGTCCTTTTAAAGTTTAGTTGTATATAATGGGAGTGAATAGTGGGCCTTGGTAGACCTGTCTGTTCTTAGAAAAAAAAAAACAAAGTTGTAATAAATGCCTTAAACTAAAAATTTGTTAGGAAGAACTAGAGGGGAAAAATAATCTAACTGGGTTTTGGAGACTAATGTGGGAAAACTGAATTTATAAAGGACACTTTCATAAAGTACTTGTTGCTGTCTGCAGCAGTGAAGAACATTGTCTTCATAGAAGACTAACTCTAAAACAATTCCAAATTAGTGCTGTCCTAAGCAGCACTTAGAGACAAAAGCCTGTTCTTGTGACTAGTGATGAACTCCCCCTGTTGACTCAGTTTCATCACTTCTTGTAAAGGAAGAAAAGGAAAATAAAACCACTTTTAATAAAGCTTCTTGGCTTGTCTCTTGGACAAGAGACAAACAAAAAGATGCATTACTTTAGCACACAAATACCTTACATGTTTTTATGCAAAACCTGCTCAATCGCTGTATGCATAAGCAAGAGCAAGTGATATTTCTAGGACATAACACAGCACACCTTAAGTTGCATCATGCATATAGATGTTGTCTTTTCTGTTTAAATATAGACTACCTTGTGGTGGATTTCAAAGGACACTTGTTTGTTATGCAGGGTAGAATTGAGGTCTGTAATGCAAAATTACTTTCTCTCTAGGTATTTTAAAAAAATCTATTGTATTTTTCAGCTGCGTGTTTTGATGCCAAGTAACAAATATTACTGGCCCACTTGGGCTGTAGGCAGGGAATAGTAAGATAAGTGAATTCCTTTAAGATTTATGTGGTAGAGTAGCAAGATTTTCTGTGCCTTCTTGCATAGTAAAAGGTAAAAAATATAGAAAGGAAAGAAAACAATGGCAAGAGATCTTCCAGCTGACCCCTTCTGTTCAATTTAACTGCAGATTGCAAGGAAACGGCATAAAGTTATTGGAGCTTTCAAGAGTCCCCATGGCCACACAAGGCCTCCTGCATCTCTCAAGCATGTTGTTCTCATGCCTCTCTCCCAGATCAAGAAAGTCTTGGACATCAGGGAGACAGAAGGTCTGTGTGTTTTGAAGTGCTGTGGTAGCTAATTAAACTCTGTTTCAGAGTGTGAAAGAGGAAGATCTGCTGTTGTGGGATGGAATGCTAAGGTTTATTTATTGTATGGTATGTTAGGTATGTGATTTTAGTAAAAGCTTCTGTTTGAATCTCTGTATGAGCTTGAAAATTCCTTGTACTGATGCCCTTTTGGCTTTTTGAGAATTGCTGCAGGATGCTGAATTTGGCAGAACTACTAGATGGCATTAGCATAAGCCAACCAATTGGCAGTGTGAAATAAACAGAGTTAAACACTTGACAGCTCTGGATTTACAAAATAAAAACCAAACGTCAAACTTCAGCCCAGAGCATTAGACTGGCCAGAAACACCTGCTGTTGGTGTGAAACCAAATTTTCTTCTTACTGGTGATGATGATGCTCAGGAAGAGCTGTGCATATTAAAAGACGACTTAATTTCTATCTGCTTTGCCATACTGCTCCAGCCTTGATAGTGACTTATAAAGAATCTAGTCACACCAGTTTCCAGATTTCTATCCTGGCAAGATTTGGTGTTTCACTGTAAGTGATGATATGCACATCCTGTGTTCTGCCTTATATACTCTGAAGCACCTGAACACAGAAACCCAATTAAGAAGAGAAAAGGCCAAGAGGGTAGGTGAGGCTGACTGCTCTGCAGAATTATTTGGTGGTTCAGCTATTGCCTGAACAGCTGATTGCAGCCTCTTGATGATGGCTGTGGACAGAACTCTGCTCTTGCAAGTGATACAAGAGCTAGTGTGTAAATAAAGATAAAATCATTTAACCAAATCATGTTGTCTGTAGCTCCAGCTCCTGGCAGACAGAGCTGGAGCTCAAAACTTCAGACCTTTCTGAAGTTTTCCCCCTGAACTTAATGAAAAAATAATTATTCTTGTTATTAACTTTTTGCCTTTTTTTTTTACAATATGTAGATTGCCAGAAAGCTTTTGCCTTAGTTGTGAGGCCACCTACAGAACTCAACAACAAGCTGCTCAGTTTCCAGATGACAACTGAAGACCCTTGCAAGGAGGACTGGCTGAAGATGCTGTGTCGGCACGTGGCCAACACCATCTGTAAAGCAGATGCAGTAAGTACTCTGGAACCATGCTGCTGATTGAGACATTTCCCTCTTTTTTGCTTTAAGCACCTGAAGCTAAAGAAGTTAATAGAGGACATGCCTGAGGTAAAGTAGAGCAGAAAACATTTGTGCTAACATGCCTGCAAGTGAGTTAAAAGGTAGAAAAGGAAACAGCCTGGAAGTTAGTTTGCGCAGAAGCTAAGTAGTGCTTAAAAATCAAAAAAATATTTATAATTAATTTATGATGGTGAAAGGGTATGATTCAACTCTCCACTGTAATTCTAACAAGAACTTTATTCAGCTTGCTTCTTTCACAGCTATCTTTGAATTTACAATCCCAGTGTTGTTGATAATTTGTGTAGGATTACCTCTGTGTTAGTTTGAGTTCTTTGCTCTACACTTTATCTGCACCATAACGCAAGAGACATGAAGCATCTTCCTCCCACAGACAGAAATCTACAACCTTAAAACAAGGAAGTAAGAAAACCAGTGAAATAAAGGAGGCACTGGCCTTGTCACTTTTCTAGAAATTCAGCATGTGGGCTTTCAGTAGTCAGAAAACCACTAATTTGAGGAGTAGATCCTCTCCAATTACAGCAAGAGGCTTTCAGCTGATGTTTTAATTATGTAAAAGTCTATGCATATCACTCATCTCAATTTGCTGAAAATACTTGCAGTACATGTAGCTGAAGCCACTTGATGTAAACTAGAAATGCTTTATGTTCTGCAGTGTATTCTGACAGAACAATATTTAGTTGTGATTTTTTAAAGGCATGCTTATTACAGGAGAGGTCATTAAGTAATGAAAACAGCATCTTAGTTTTGTGTGTCTTGTGGTCTAGGGACTTAGGAATAAGAGACTTGGGCTTGACCTTCCCTTTTAGGTACTGAGTATGAAAAGTGCTGATGTGGAAGTGTTAATTTTCTTTAGTCGGTGTGTTGCCTATCTTCAGTATTTCGTGTAATGTAAGGCTTGGATTTTTAATAGGAATTAAACCTTTGTGTAATAAATGTATCATTCTCTTTTGCCCCAAGACACTCAATTATATGCTGACAAATTGTGACCTACTTTGCTGAATCCCATTAGTTATAATTTCTGTACCAACTATATAATACTTCTTTCTTGCTTATTTAAATGTCAAATTGAGCTTCAATTTAAGCACTTTTCCCTGATTTTAGACTTTCTAGAGCATCATGTGAGTGGAGATAACATTGACTTTGCCACCTGGTGGCAGCAAAGGCTTTGGCTACTCTTCCTTAGGCCCTAGGAATGGCCATAAAGCTGCTGACTGAGATATTTTTTTTAATGTAAAATGTGTTTTCTCAAAATGCAGACAACAAACAGCAGAAAAAAACATCCCAGCAACTTCCCACTCCCATGTATGTTCCCTCTGTCCCCCAGGTTTTGTAAGTAGGTAGCCAGAGATTGCTTTGTGCATGCTGGAGTTTAAGAATGAGGCATGAAAAAAACCTCAAAACTCGTGGCCATTCTGCAACAAGTATTGCACTTAAGCTGAAAGTCTTTAGCCTTAATCTTGAGAGCTCCAGCTGTCAAACATTTTACTTCAGAAATGTGCTAGATGTGTCAGTGGAATAAAGGAATATTTATCTTGGAAACTCCCTGGGGATGCCTCAGAACTACTGCCTTTAATTTGGTCAGCCCTGGACTTGAAACTGAATCAGACAAACTGTGAAACTACTGATGAAGTGGTTTCAAACTGATTGCCCCAGCTGTTCATCTAAAAAAATGGCTTGAAAACAAGTAGCTGCTGGACTGTATAAAGAGTTAAATATGGAGTATGGCAATTAAACCCTCTAAATCTGACCTAATGGACTACTAAACAATATTTTGGCAAGTGCTGATATTTGACCATTATTAAGACTATTCTTGTCTACAGGAAAATCTCATTTATATTGCTGATCCTGATTCAGTTGAAGTAAATACTAAAGATATGGACAGTACTTTAAGCAGAGCATCCAGGGCAATAAAGAAAACATCAAAAAAGGTAAGATAGTGTTTTTTATTCATAGAATTGTGCTGGGATTCCTCTTTCAGGTGGTTTGTAGTATTTACAGTAGTGACAGGAAAAACTTAATCAGAACTAAAACTCTTAAATTTAATCTCCTTAAAGAAGGTAAGGGGTGTTCAAGGTTTTGGAATATTTGTATATATAGTCTTAAGTATTAAAGTCATAAGTATTATGTAGTCAATTTTGAGTCTGTTATGGAACTTACGCTGTTTAATACTTTGAGTCTTTTAAATACAATGGAAAATTGAGAATCAGGTAAAAGAAGGGGGAGCTGACTCTGCAGGACTGAGAGATGCGGGGAAGCCTTGGTGACCAGATCTTGCTTTGACTTCTCCCTGAATCTCTGACCTCCTCTCTCCCTCCTGTGTTGTCCTCATGTTTGGACAGAATGAAAAGAGCAAAGATCATGGGAAGCCTTCAAAAGTCAGATCACCTTAGGTGTGGGTGTTTGGCTGGTTGTGACCCAACTACCAACACTTGATACACATCCTAGAGATTTTCAGAATGCTAGCCTGTATAATAGTAGTTATTCCAGCCTGGTTTTAGTTAGTGTTTAACCACTTGTCAAACTCCACAGGTCACAAGAGCCTTTTCTTTCTCCAAAACCCCCAAGCGAGCGCTCCGCAGGGCTCTGATGTCTCACAGCGCCACGGAAGGGCGGAGCCCCAGCTCTAACGAGAGTTTCATCGGCAGCCGCCTGACCAGCACCTCCTCCCTCGCGGTGAGTGAGCTGTGCGCCGGGGAAGGCACCTTCTCAGCATCACACTCCTTTAATGTCTGCTGCTGCTCTCACTTTAGCAATTCCAACATCCACAGTGGGGGAAAAATACTTTTAATTGCATTCATAGGGATATTATTTTCAAGACCTGTTTAATGAGAAGCCTTCCTTGTTGAAAATACAGAAAAATCTTGATGCTCTACATAGTGGGAGTTGCCTTACATATTTAAGTTGAAAAACCCCACCAATCTCTTTTGCTTGGGATGGAATATGTTTCATCTTCTGAGAGAGTGAGAAAGATTCAGCACAAGTCTTATATTGGTTCATGCTTTTGATTTTGAACACTAAATAGAAATGTGGTGTGCAACCCTGAATAGCATGCTGAATGTTTCAGTCAAATTAGTGAGATGTCAGACATCCTGTGAAACAAACTGGGAAGGAAGGGTAGAGAAACATAGATGCTGCAGCCTGCAAGTTTCTAAACAACAAGGGAGCTATCTCCTTGTAAATGTTTAAGAAAACTGGGTAAAATAAAATATTGTTCTATATATTTCAACTCTTCTTCTCTGCCTGGCTTTCTCCTGCTCCACTAGGCCAAACTCAATTTCCTAATACAGTCTAGTAAAGCAGACTAGATTTGGAGGAACCTTTTCATCATCTTTGCTTTTTATTATTGTGTTTGAGTAAATTTGATGAGTAAACCTACTTTCTAGTCTGTAGTATGTGGGACAGAAGGCCAAGAAAAGAGAATCCTTTCTGTTACTGACTGATATGTCAGTACTTCAATATTGAGGTAATTCAGTATGTTTGAATGGCCATTAAATTGTACAACATAAAGATATACCCCTGCTCTCCCACGTGAGAAAATATGAAACAGTAAGGGAGGACGTATCATAGCAGACTCCCTTGCTTTAGAGGAAATTTTAAAAAATCTACCAATGGGCCTATAGCCTAGTTTTCTATAGAGAGATTTTTTTTTCCTTCTGTTATGATTATGGCAACAATTGTTTTTGCATTCTAATTGTCTTCATTTTGATACAACACTATCTCATTTCTCATTAACTTGCAAGTCATGTTTTTTTTTTTTGTGCATATCTACCTCAGACAAAAATACTTGTTTTCCACAAAATCTTAAACTTGCAAAACCATGTTTCACATTCTTCCCAGACCTCTTGCACTTGTGGTAATAAGCTGCAGTTTGGCAGCAGATCATGTGTTGTGGTTTTTTTTAACCAATGCCACACACCACTGAACTTGCATAAAGCCTTTTTGGTTCAATTATAAGGCTGAGGGGAAAAGAGGTTTGGATTCCAGCCCCTCAAGTTGGAATACCAGTGCAGTTGTTGATAGGAAACAAAAACTGCAGGAAACCTGAGTCCATTAAGAGTCAAAGTTGTTATTCAGACATATTGTTTTCTCTAAATTAAATCTTGGCCTATGCTTATGTAGGATTTTTCTTGGTGCAGAGAAAAAAATAGCATAAAAATATCAATAAAGTTTGGATGCTTGGGGTCTTTTTTCTTATTTGAACTAACTCTTAAACCCTTCCTAATTGTAGATTGCTCGTTCCTCTTCCACGTGCAGCCTAAGTGGATCTGCCAAATGTGCTGTTAATGTCCATCGCTCCAGTTCTGTTGATAGGAGCTCTCAAAGTTCCAAGCCTCGACCTGTGCTGTGTCCTGGCTCTCCAAATACTCATCTTTCAAATGCTGTAGAAGCCAAAGCCTCTTCCAGCTTGGAGAGCTTAAATGGTCATGCCTTGGACAGACCATGTGCTTTCGCTGTTATTACTGCCACTTGTGCTGATGCTGGAGATGATAACCAGCATGGTGCTGGGAAATTCTGTGCATCAGATCCTGACTGAAGTGAGCAAGAAATCCCGAGTTCTGTAAGCTAAGAAAGCATGGTACAGCTCTAATGCACAAAGGGCTTCAAATGGTGCTGGGTTCTTCTTTAACATCCTTAATACACAGGGTTGGAGTCAGCAATCACATGTGGTTCTGGGTGCAAACTTCTTCTCACAAACTTTTAAATATAATTTTTTGGATTTTTTTTTTTTTTAGTTGGTGTGCAGTTGAATTCCTCACTATTTCATATCCAAATGACCATGTAACTCACTGGCCTGAGTTCTGAGAACTTTAATAACTTCGTTGCAAGGAAGACTTGAGCAGCTCATTTTACCTGTGGTTTTAGTTTTTTATTCTCTATCTGGTATAAAATACTCTAGTCTAATAAGAGATGATCTATAAAGAGGAGTTTAGGGTTACATTTTCAGATGTTGCCAATGACTGCAAGTGGAGGACATGCCATAAACAGGCATAGGGCTTGTTCATAGTGAAGTGTGTATTCCCTTAGTTGCCCAAAATATCCCTATTTAAAAGATTCTTGAAGCATGCAGGTGCACAAGCTGCCCAACTACCGTGACCTGTTGATGTGCTGAGAAGCTTGGCTGGCTGTTTAAGAGCAACAGAGGATTGCTTGTGCAAGTATCTTGAGGTCTAATGTGAAAAGAATATAAAATCTCAGCTAATCCAAAGAGGTTTACTTTTAGTGCTACATATTGATGTGTTGGTTTCACAGTAATTAAGTCTCAGAAGCAGCTTATTCTCCAAGCATCAGAAAAAATCAGCTTCTTGCCTAGTGTGTGCCCATCCAGGCACAGCTAAAGCAAGCTCTGACAAATCATTGGGATGTCTGTTGCCTCCTGCAGCCAAGGAGACATGTGTTCAGCATCTCATTTGGGGCTCAGAGATGATGATAATATAGAAAGTTGTAGGATTGGAGGGGGAGCTCTGTTTATCTAAGAGATTATCATAGTGTATCTTGCCTTCATTTTGGAGGGAGATTGTTACGGCAAAAAGTGATGCAAGATGTATACTAATACTTGTTAACAGCCACTCTTCAAAAACATGTTCTTGCATTCCAAATCTCTCAAGGCTGGTAATGAGGAAAAAAAATCTATCTTCTGCAGTTTTTAAAATGTGTTAAATTTCCTGTTCAAACTCTTGAAATGCTGAATCATTACTTTCCAAAGCTGCCAATCTTTGAGGTCTTCTTCACTCACACATTCCTTGTATGATATGTGAAGGTTGAGAGATGACTGCTACACTATTGAGATTGCCTCATAAATGATCAATAACTTTTTTTTTGTCCAACAGGGTGTTCCTTCTCCTTCCTTGGTCAGCCTTCCCTCGATCTTCGAAAGGAGGAGTCACACATTAAGCCGATCAACAACCCACTTGATATGAGGCAGGTCGGAAGACTCTGCTCTGTGGCAGTGACTGACAGGCAGGTGGCTGGGCAGTGACCTGTGACTGACATTAGTGGTACCTTAGTCATTAGCACTTAGCAATGATTAGCAAAATGTTAGATGACACTAAGTTAATCACAAGGGGGGTTTAGTTGTGTTGAAGCAGACCAGCCAATCAGTGGAATAAGTAACTTGGCCTTCATTGAAACACAGGATTCCCTTGTACAGATTTATTTCCTTACCAGCATAACTGAAAGATTTTCTTCTATGGAAATTGTCCCCTCCAGGCAATAAACTGATTTGTCAGATCTTGAAATTAAGATGATGATCACATAATTTACTGCTAGTTTGGATGACTCTTATGCTTGCCTAACTTCATCTACTGGTAGAGCACTGTAATGTTTGAATTGTGGATTTCTTAAATAGAGATACATTATGAAATACCTGACCTTTCAAGTATGACAGTTAACCTGTTGTACAGCTGCTTATTCCAGATATTTTATAAATGTAGTTGTTTATAATTAAATAGAATTGAGTTTTGTGATTATGATCTCCTGCAGCCTCACTGTAAACACAGTGGTATGAGGAGCTTTGACCACCAAAAATGATCAATTGAATTCTTCATCTTGCTTTGAAATGGAAGTCTGAGGTAAAGAATTACACTCCTTTTAAGTAGGAGTTGTTCAAAGTAGGTTTTTTTAAGTAGGGTTGTTAAAAAAACCAAACCCCCACACTCTCCCCATACTTGGTTAACAAATAATTATTTAATGCATGGGATTATTATCAATGGGTGTGACATTAGAACTTCAGGGTCCAATTTTGATGTGTCAAATTTCAGTGTACAACTCCTAAGGCTTTTAGGCTTTCTCATGTATTTATGTCTTCCTTTAAAACTATGTTCACTCCTGTCATCTCTGAACAGTTTGTACCCTGCAATGCACAAACTATCTGAATATGTAAATTTCTGCATTTCATTAACAGTTCAACTGTTGGTATTAGCAGGAGTTCGCAACTTCTGGTTTCTATTTAACCACCTGTGTTTTGTCTTGTATCTATATGTAACTAGTGATGCTTTTGAATGTGTCAGACTGCACTGTTTTTTATGTATCTTTTTGCCAATCTGAGCAATGTAAATAAACTGTTTAAAATAACAGTGCTTCTGGCTTTGCTAAACAAGCTTTTATGGAAGTTTACTTTTTTATGTGGGGAAAAAAAAAGCATTGTTGAGTTCCAGCCTACAACTGTACTCTGATTATCTATATAGTTATTCCTAATAAAGTATACCACTTGATAGGCCTGAATATTTTTTTGTTTTTTCTTAATTTAAAAAAAGGAGGAAGGTTATTCTAGCTTCTGGTGTGACTTCATCCACTCCTACATTCTGGATGCTTTATCCTAGCCTGTTATGTCAAGTTTCAGCAAGAGCTGCTTCTACTTCTGTGAAAAAATAAGTGGACTGTTAACAATTGTTAGGGTCTGCTCAGTATTTCTCTTGATGGGAGAGTGTTTTACAGCTGAAACACAGCAGCAAAATCTTGAGTAAGATGACAGAACAGGCTGGGAGGTGGAAATGAACTTGCCAAGTTAAAAAGGTGATCCAGATTAAAGAAACAAGTCAAAATAAGGAATTTTTACAAAAGAGAAGCTTGGCCCACAGTTTCCATTTCCAATATTACATGTGCTTGTAGCATCGGAATAAGTACATAATTTTGGAGGGTATTTTGGCTGGTGTTCTTTGAAATCTGAAGTGAGACTGTTTCCCCAAACCAGAATTTTTAACCATGTTTCTTTTACCATCCCACTCCATTAGCTGTGAGTTACTGAGTAGCATAAGCATCTGGTTTTGTACAACAACTAGCATCAGTCTTGATACAGACAATTCACATCTTGTGAATAATTTTTAAAAGTTAAATTTGAACAGTTTAGTATAATTCAGTAAAATTTCCCAAGTCTTTTTGTTGAGATTTCTGAATTGTAAAACTATAAAATCTGTTCTGCAACTCTTAAGGAAAAAAAATACTGGGATAAAAAGGACATTCCTTTCTAACATCTCTGCTACAGCATCAGCCAACACATGTTCAACATACAGAATTCTGTCATTCAGAAAAACTGGAATTCTGAAGAGGAGGTCAAAGGATGGTCTTTGTTTAAAACATAACTTTTCTTGTGGGCTGTACAAAAGCAGCTTAATGAGCTGCTCTCAGTGCTACCAGAATCCTCTTAACCAGTGCTCTAAATTGGTAATTGAAGGAGAGCTACCAAAGGAAAAGGGCTTCTTTTGGGTGGGTGTTTGGTGGCATAATGTTTAAGGAAGCAAGAGCTTGTTTTCTTGCTTAAAAAAATTAGAAGAGCCCCAAGAAGAGAATTGAAGTGGGGAATAGATGTTGGAGCCTAGAATTAATCACTGTACACTCACAAACTATTAACACATTAATGGCCTAACATGGGTAATCTTTTATAGGTTCTTGTTCAAAGAGAAAAGGTGGAGATCTCACAGCTGCTGGAGAGCACCGGTTTGCAAATTTGTGGTAGATTCAACAGGACAGCTTGACCTGTGCTTTGCAGAGAAGTAGTTGCTGTTTCAAACGCAGGAGCTGCAAACTCCTCTGCGAGGTGGATGTTTACAGCCCCTGAAAGCAGCCCTCAGAGACAAAGGGGGGCAGCTGGAATGTACTTTAAAAGCACAAAAGCTGAATGCTGGCTGAGGGTGAAGGCAAGCTGCTGCCACGTACTTTGCCTTGGGACCTGTTTGAAGTGCAGAGCCAGAAACCTGCCCGCTCCCAGCAGTAAGGAAAGCTGAAATGGAAACGGGAACACCATGAAAACAAACTAATTAAACATGTAGTGAAATAGATGTCACTTTGTCAGATGTTAGGCAAACAACAGCAATTTTTTGTTAAGAACATTGCCACTAGTGAGGGCAGAATTTTCAGCTGGCACAGAGTATCCTGTCAACCTCTATACAAATGCAATCAGGCCTTTGTATACTTAATTTAGGCAGTTAGAAGTGCAATTACCACCCTACCTGCAAATTGTAATTAGTTTATACTGTGTTGATGCCTTTATCAGCTGATCCATACACTGACACTGACTTCAAGAACAGCCTGACTATTGTGGGAGCTACCCTCTGTTTTTGAAGTAAGTTAGTATATATAAAAATATGCATGTGTTTGTGTATTTCGATAAACAAAAGGTTCTTACAAATATATACGAAGCAGCCTTTTACCCCCTGTAGGGAGGCCTAGTACATGTACTTTATATGAGTGAAATTAAGGAATTAAACTTTGATATTTATACTGACATGAGTAAAAAGAGAAGAACATCTACTGAGTTGTGTACTGTTAACAAAGGTAATGCTTATCAATGTTTATTGGTGAGTGTCTGGACATGCCAACTGCTTCTTGTAAATACTCAGCCTGTGTCTTCACCCAAACCATTGGTAATGCAGTGGTTGTGTTGGATTGTGAACACCTACACACCTTGTGCTCTCTCTGATGGCATTTCAGTGGTTTCTCCAATGTTTCAGCCTGGAGGGAATGTAAATATAAGCATAAATGATTTTGAAAGTGTGCCTTTTTTCTGTGTTTCAATGGCTCATGCATTAGAGTTGGTATGGCTGACAAATCAGCACTGATTGCTAATTAAAAAGTGGAATATATTAAGGAGTTTCACACTTCCACTTCTGCCTCCGATTGAAACCCTGCCTGTATGAGTGTGTGCTGGGAAAGCTCTAATGGATACAGTCTAATTACTTGCCATTTTTGCTTTGCCTTAACAGTTCATGAATTACAGTAACTCTGACTAACAGATCACTGCTGATTACTAATTAAATGGCAGAATTTGGTTTTATGCACGTCCGGCTATTACCCCCACAAAAAGTGACATTCCATGTCTTAACAAAAAAAGCTTTTTCTTTATTTGTTTGTTGATGTGTAAAAGCTGATGTTATCCTCCCTTTGGAAAATAAAATTCTTGGGGCACATTTAACAATAGCAGTTGATAAATATATTTCAAAAGTAAAGTTGCTGCTATGCTGCTATAAACAAGGCTTTGGGGAGAAAATGTTCAAGGCAGCTGTGCTGGTTTTGGCTGGGGTAGGGTTAATTCTTTTCACAGGAGCTGACGTGTGGCTGTGCTTTGGATTTGTGCTGGGAGCACTGTGGATAACTCAGGGATGTTTTGGTTATGGTTGAGCACGGCTTACAGAGAGCCCACAGAGCTTTTTCTGCTCCTCACCTCCACCCCACCAGCGACGGGGGTGCACAAGGATTTGGGAGGGGACAGAGCCCGGCCAGCTGACCCCAATGACCCAAGGGATATTCCAGACTGTGTGATGCTGTGCTCAGCATTAAACTGAGGAAGAAGAAGGAAGTGGGAATGTTCAGAGCAATGGCTTTTGTCTTCCCAAGTCACTGTTGTGCGTGATGGAAAGTCACTGTTGTGGCTTTCCTGGGGATGGCTGAACCCCTGCCCGCCCATGCGAAGTGGGGAATGAATTCCTTGTTTGGCTTTGCTTGTGTGCATGGCTTTTCCTTCCCTTACTAAACTGTCTTCATCTCAGCCCACAAGTTTTCTCACTTTTGCTCTTCTGATTCGCTCTCCCTCCCACCTGGGAGAGCGAGCGGCTGCGTGGGGCTGAGCTCAGCCACGACAGCAGCACAGGGACTCCAGGGTTCCTGCCACTCCCATTCCCTTATGGATCACCTCTGCCCTCCTTAAATGAGCACACAGAACAAAGAGAGAGTTTTAATCCTTTATCTGCAGGGGGGGACAATTCATTCACTGCCACAGGGGCTCCCCAGGTCATCCAGATAGTTGAACAAATGGAATGGATTTCACTTCCTTTCTCTTTATTTGCCTTTTCTATTTGACCTACCCAGAATTTAATCTGATTCCTGACAAGATCAGTACTCTCATAATTTGTGATATGTTTTAATTTGTGATAGTGATCTGTAGAGATCAGCTGTTGAGGTTGGCAATTCTTCTCATGATGGTGTCTGCTGCTGAATGGCAGTGGGTAGAGTAATGGAGAGCCTGTAAATGGCATAACTGCCATAACTCTTGCTGAATACCCAGAAATATTCAGTTTTATCCCAGACATAGAACTAGAACTCATTAAAATTGCCACCAGTCTTTTCAAAATTGCCACTAATCTTTTCAAATCCAAGACATGGCAGCCTGACAAACTTTTCTTTCACCTTTTATAGAAACATAGCAAAATTTTTATCCTAAAAAAAAGACACTGCTCTTCTGAAAAGAAATTATGCTTCTCTAATATCTTTCAGTTTGTGAGCAGGCCCCTAAGCATGTGAATATTTCAATATGCAGTTTATAAAAATCCATCAGAGATAGTGCTCAAGAGCAAGGGTCAAAAGGAATGGTATGATACTTGAGATCCCATATATCAAAAAGCACAGTGTAAAAATCTTTGGCATATAGGTGATCTTAATGGTCCCTTCTGGACTTAAAATGTATTACAGAGAGAAACTATCAAGTCATTTTTATAATTTAAAGCTTTATCTTTTCCTTATTAGTAATTCTTCCTGTCTGAATATCATTGTTCACCTTAAGCAAAATAGAGAATATATTATTAGTGGAAGGTAATAAAAAGGACTCTGTGTTATTGCGATCACTACCCATAATAAATGTAAAATTTGGTGTTCCAAAGGCTGTCAAAAAGGTCCTTTTCTCCTTGTTTCCATCTAAAATATTTCATAGCATTGCTAGCAGTAGTAACTCAGAGCAACACATTTCTACAAAGACAAGAATGTGGCAGTGTCTGCAAAACAAACTATCCCAGGTCATCATAAACAAACCACTGCAGTGTTGGTTAGAAAACCTTTATGAGCAAAGGAAGCCCATGTGAAATTGTGAAATTAGGACTTTTTACTACAAGGGTTCAGGAAATAGTTTCTGATACTTACTTATAACTCTGTGATGTTCATAGTGGTTTTATCTTTCAAGAAAAGAAGCTATTGGGAGATCTTAAAATGTGTAGATATCCAGAGAAATGGGGCAGTTGCTTTCAATGGGCATTTTCACTGAGACCCACTGTGCCTCATGTTCTCCATGTGCCTGAACATGTGAGCTCTACCTGTCCTTGTAGTCTTGGTGAGTACTGGGATGAAATTTTCTGCAGCTCACAGCCCACAGGATGTAAAAATCCCAGCATTTGCTCTCTTTGAGTAGGAAATCACTGGAATGACTCAGCTTGAGTAGAGTGACCTTTGAGTGAAGGCTGTCGTATGGAGCTGCTCTGCCACTACTCTCCCCAGTTTTCCTTAGCTCAAGAATGGCCAGC